TTTTTTTTTCCTGTGTTGATTGGAAATAATACCCTTTAGCACAGCTTACTGTGTGCATGGACGGATGTGATTTTTTTTTTTTATACATTTCTTGAATTGCCTTTCTTGTGATGTCCTTTTATTTTCTGATAGTCTGACGAGTATTTTAGTTCCTGATCGTCCTTTCTTATACAAAACTTTATAACAAACTGGGTTCAAAACTACCTTTCCCCCCCCCCCCCCCCCCCCCCTAAAAAAAAAAAAAAAACCAGACAAACTTAGTTGTACATGATATCCTAAGAGTTGGAGACCATGAATATCTTGCTAAGTAGAATATAGATTTTAGCCTCATTCTGTAGTTACTATACACTTGTATTGTTGTTGTTTTTAGCTGCAATTTTTTTAGTACTTCCTTTGTTAATATTAATGTAACTTTCTTATTTTTTTTCTTGTTTGGCCAGTAAGTAAGTAAAGTCTTATAATTTGTCCCTTATTTGTTAGTGGACCACTACCTTGTGCATTCTATAAATCTAGACATTATAGAACTTCCTCTTGATACTTGTTTGTACAGCTGTAAGTTCATAGGCTGCTTATTTACAGGAAGAACTACGCCCATACTTTTCATTGCCTAGGGTTATGGATGGTCTTTTCAGCCTTGTAAATATGCTGTTTGGTATCAATGTTGAGCCTGCTGATGGATTAGCTCCGGTAAGATTTTGTTCACTTGCCTTTTCTTTTACCTCTCTTCCTGCTCCTGTATGGAGTGGCAAATAATGTTGTTCATGAATGTGTATGTGATTTCTAGGTTTGGAACAACGATGTGCGGTTTTACCGCGTGAATGATTCCTCTGGAAGTCCCATTGCCTACTTTTATTTTGATCCATACTCTCGTCCGTCTGAGAAACGTGGAGGTGCATGGATGGATGAAGTTGTTAGCCGAAGCCGTGTATTATCACTAGATGGTGCCTCTGCTAGATTGCCTGTTGCCCACATGGTTTGTAATCAAATGCCACCAGTTGGGGATAAACCCAGCCTAATGACATTCCGCGAGGTAAGCATGTATTTTGACTCTAAGTACCTACAATTCATGGTGTTCCGAAATGGTTGGACTAATAACTCAGTAAGGTATGGTGCTGCATTGTATGGCATCAGCCTTGGCTAATCTCCTACTCTTTAAGCTTTGCATCATAGTGGGTGTTTCTAATAATTTTCTTTTGGGTGATTCGTGGTGGGCTTGGAAGGAGGGACATGAGTAGGGGAGGAGAAGGAGACGAAGGGAGGACTTTTGGTGTTGGTTTTTCCAATCAACAAGTGCAAATAAACAAAATCGGGCTTTAGCAAAATGCGAGAATGAAGAAGAGGACTCTCATATTGAAAGAAGAAAGAGTTATTGTCTAAAGAGTAGAAGGAAAGGATTTCAGAAGGATATGCAAATGTAAAATGTAGGTTTGGATGTTTCTGTGAGCAGTAAGGAACAATATCCCCTTAGTTTCGAAAAGCTAGTGGCGACAGGAAACATTAAGTGGAAAATAGATTTTTTTTTTTTTTGATTTGCACCGGGTGTCCGAGTCTCTAAGAGCCCCGACTAATCCCGGGGGTGCACAGGCCCTCGGCAAGGAGTTTCCCACAAGTGCACCACGGTTAATTCAGGTTTTACCCAGTCCGATGGCCCTCAGAAATTGTTTGCACATAGTGGGTTTCGAACTTGAGACCTTGAAAGGGAGCAAACCTCAAGGCTCAAGTCTATTGCCACCAGGCCAACCCCTGAGGGTTCTTAAGCGGAAAATAGATTATTACTTCTTCCACTCTATGATGATGAGCAGATGTTTTAACTGCTTTTTTAGTTTTGGAAATTTCTTTTGTTAATGTAAACGATCTTATTAATGCTGGGGAAATCCCCCATGTACAAGTAGTATACAAATGGATAAAGAGGCCTAGGCTAAATTTATGGTTCTCTAACTAGGAAGTTAGGAAGTCGAGTATGAAGTTATGGAGGTTATGGAGGTCGAGTATTACGGTTGTAGGCTAGGAGGTAGCTGAGTCTTGCGTTACCTTGTACTGTTGTGAGCCTAGTCTGGTAGGGTTTTTGTCTGAAGTAGCTAGGGGCATTGTCGTGTCTTACTATTTTCGCTTTTCGGTGCAGGACCTACTTACTAGCCATCATTTTTGTTTTGCATTTTTCCTTCTGCATTTTATGTTCCTATTTTTCATATGATCTCAGTGGTGAAACTAATATTCTCTCCTTTTTGTTTTTGTTTTTCTTATTATCTTGAGCCGAGGGTCTTCCGGAAATAGCCTCTCTACTCCTTCGGGGTAGGGGTAAGGTCTGCGTACATATTACCCTCCCCAGACCCCACTTGTGGGATTTTACTGGGTTGTTGTTGTTGTTGTTGTAACTAGTCATCCAATCATCTATACAAACAGGAACCTCATGGGTACACCAAAAAGAAACTAGAAGCACGAGGCTACCCTTCACACACAGAAAATACTTCTCAACTCTTCAAACATTCTCCTATTTCTCTCTTTCCATATTATCCGCATATGAATTAGTAGGGCAACATCCCATGTCTCGGTCTTCTCTTTCTTCTTCTCAAAGCTCAGATTACGGTGCTTCTTTCACTGTGCTTGGCATGACGCACTGTATTCTGAACCAATTCAGAATCTCCCTCGCAAGCGCATAGCTGCCTAACAATGTAGTAAGAGTTGATCCACATATTCTTCCAAACATCTCCACATATAGCACTTGCTGACATGAGTGATCCTCCTCTTGTTCAAGTTCTTGACTAACAGTAAAATCTTATGCGCTCTTGACTTCTTTGTTAGCTTGTTTATGAGATATTTTATGATGCTTCAAATCAGGTTTATATTTATAGGTTCACGAAAATTTATGGTAGTATAAGACAGCATCTAAGTTATCATTAGGTGTGTTTTTGGTGTTGATTACGTGCCTGCTTTTGTAGGTTGAGACTGTCTTCCATGAATTTGGACACGCCCTTCAGCATATGCTCACTAAGCAGGATGAGGGTTTGGTTGCTGGTATAAGGGGCGTAGAATGGGATGCTGTGGAATTACCATCACAATTCATGGAAAATTGGTGCTATCACAGGTACAATGATGTCTTAGCAATGATACTTTAAACATCTGGTTTTGGTTGCGTTACCAAGTTAGTTCGCCACGATGGTTTTCAAAACCAAAGCGGAGGACAAACCATTCTTTCAAGCTTTAAATCAACAAATTGCTCTGTTGTAAAAAGAGACATTTTTATATTCTTAAAAGTATATTTTAGTTAGGCATCTTTAATACCAGTTTTTTCATTTTGTTGTACTTGAGATCTTTCAATAAATGAAGTTGGGAGCAGGCAGAGATTCGGAACAGCTTGTTATATTGATTTTTCCTTCAGCGGGTTCTGTCTGTCTCCCGACAGAAGATGTTTTCTATTTGTTGTCCTCTCTTCTTGATAAACAACTTATTTGTCAATCCTTTTTGCACTTTAGGAGTATGACTTGTTGATAATTCTACCAGACGCTTCGTATAATTGTTACGTGGATCTAATTAGTGCTTTCGCATGTCTCACTTTATGTTAACTTGTTAGTACTGACAACTGATGCTCCATAGTGTACTCGCTCAAGACATTGTATTTTTATGCAAATTGTATTATTTAATCGTTCTATATAAGTTGCTTGTCCTTGCCCGTTTCTATAACCATATGTGACCGAGATTTTACTTTTTATTTAATCATGAAATATTTTCTTCTTCTCACTCCTGCCCATAGATAACCTTTAACTTATCATCAACGTGTAATTTTCATGGAACTAACTTAATTATGCCTACCCTGGCTTTGAATGCTATCTTTCTCTGAGTTTGTAGAATTTTAGTTTCAGCCTCAGATATTGCATCATGCTGTAATATACAGCACCTCAAAAGGATATGAGGAGTTGCGATATAATTGAAGATATCCGTGTTTCTTTCCTTTGGATCAGTCATCTGTTGATTACTCATTTTCTTGATGGCTGTTGCAGGGATACTCTGATGGGCATTGCTAAGCATCATGAAACTGGAGAGAGTCTCCCAGAAGACATATACAAGAAGCTTCTTACTGCTAGGACTTTTCGTGCTGGTACCTTGAGCCTTCGGCAGGTGAGCACTGCCCACTTTTCTCTTTTTCTGGGTCCTCTGTTACTTTTTTTAATAATAATCTCTTGATACATCTTTCTTTCCACCCTTTAGTATTAACCAACTATATTCCAAATTCTTCATGTTTTGAGGTAGGAATCGTATTATTTTTTCCCCCTAAAACTCCTCGTGGGTTACATTAATCTCTCCAGAAAGTGCATTTGACATATACTGTTCTGCTGGTTCATTTCCAAGGTTTTTTCAGTGTACTAAAGCTAAGATACATATTGTTGGCCTTTCCCTGTGTACTTGGAAGTTGGATGGAGAGAGAAACAGGATGTGAACCAACTTTCTAAATCAGGTCTTCAGAAATTGGAAACAACTCGTTTAACATATTCTAACTTGACATTTTATGGGTTGTATGGTTATTCATGGTTTGTCTTCAGGTCTAGTTCAACAATCAAGTTGTGCCAATAGTAGGTTCTCCAAAAATATTCTGAAAAGAGTAATAGCCACTGAACGGATTTTTTCGGTCATACTAGTTCATACAACAGTGGCTGTGTTTGCCCAAATGGTCTCTGTTGGATCGTTTCCTTTGCGTTCTGTTATTTATTTCTAGACATCTAGATTGTCCAAGGGTGTAATTTGTTCCATGGATTTTTTCTTCTTTTTTCTAATCATTAATGACGTTAATGCCATGACTTGTGGTGCTGTGGAAATGCTTACCGGTGGCCATAAAATTGTTCTTGTAGTTGAGATTTGCAACTGTTGATCTTGAGTTACATGCAAAATATGTTCCGGGTGGCTCAGAATCAGTCTATTGTGTTGACCGACGGGTCTCTAAGAGAACCCAAGTGCTTCCTCCACTCCCAGAGGATAAGTTCCTTTGCAGTTTCAGTCACATTTTTGCGGGTGGATATGCTGCTGGATACTACAGTTACAAGGTGCTTCTCCTATCTTTTAGTGGTTCTTAGCTCCTATATTTTTCCAGTTACTACTTACTTGTATTTATGTATAAATATTGTGGGGTTAAAAGAGGGTAGTTATGTCTTTTCAAATCTTTCTTTTCTATGAAAAATGGTTTCTCGGGAAGAATATATGTTTTAGGTTTTCTTATAAAAATAAAAATGTGTTAGATTGCAATTTAAGACTTGCCTTTAACCACATCTAAGTGCAAAGTTATTTTCCAATTTTTGTAGTGGGCAGAGGTTTTGTCTGCAGACGCCTTCTCTGCATTCGAGGATGCTGGGCTAGAGAATGAGAAGGTAAAGTTTGAGAAAGTTTACTTTTGATTCAGTAGTCTCTTATAGCTGTCATTTTAATGAATATCACAATTCAACTAATAGTGGCTTTAACTTTGAGTAGGCTGTGAAAGAAACAGGCCACAGATTCAGGGAGACCGTTCTTGCTCTTGGAGGTGGAAAGGCTCCATTGGAGGTAGGGGTTAAACATGTCTCTGTCTTCTTATGTTTGCTCATTCTTTTCTTGTCCAAGACTCTTAACGATTTTTGGATACGTATTCAGGTTTTCGTGCAATTTAGAGGTCGGGAACCTTCTCCAGAACCGCTGCTTAGGCACAACGGCCTACTCTCAGCTTCTGCCTCTGCATGAGATCATTTTAAAACCTTGTGCAGTCTTAATGGCCATTCAAAGGTCATATGGCCAGTAGAAACATTTGCATGCTTTCACGCCATTAGATGTAACTACATTTTTTTCAACGCTTGATATATTATTTAATTCAGAACGAGCTTTGGTACTGAGGATCGGATAATATGGATTAATAGTATCTGATTTACTGGTTATAAACGAAGTTCTTGGTTCTTCCTCGTCTCCATTACACATCCCCTTTATGCAATTTTGATCAATATGACAAATAGTAATGCATGTCGTGCCAGCGGAAAGGCTTTGTTTGGTTAATCTTAACGTGTAATCCGTAGATGTTGTTTACCTATTCTCCTCCAGGAAAAGGTTCGCCAAGTAATTTCAATGTTCTGTTTTTTTTCCAAAATCGCTTAAGCAGGAGTGGAATTGATTACTTTTTGAGTCGAATGATTTGAACCGAATGCCTGGCTAATTCTGCAAAAGTGTTCAAAGGTTACGCAAGACGCAAGTCTTGGTAAATGATCCAACCTGCATGGTTAGTGGGGTTTGCGGTGGGGGATATTGAATTTAGTTTATGTAATTAAATAGGGCTTGGAGTCTGTGTTATATGTTATAACATTGAGGGCTCGTTTGGTACCGAGAGATAAAGGATATTTAATTCGGGATTAATTTAAGATGAGTTTATCTCATATTTGGTTGGGATAAAATCGTAGTATAATTAATTCCGAGATTATAGTAATTTTTTTTATCCCAATAAGAGGATGTAAAAATTGCACCATTTAACCTATACCCATTTTTTTAAAATTTTTTAACTTGTACCCACTTTTAAACAACTTCAGCCCCTTTCTCCTCCTTCTCCTCTTCAAAGTTTTATCTTTTCTTTTTTCAGAAGTAAGGTTCATCCCTATCTGCTTCTTCTTATTTCTCCGGTGAGTCCTATAAATTTTCACGCCAACCTATACATCTGAAACAACCAATTTGCTTTCTTCTCAGCTCTTGCTCGACACACAAATTTGTTTTGCTGAAAAGATGGCACAAAATAGGGGTCAAGTAATTGCTCTTCTTTCTTCTCAGCTCTTGCTCGACACACAGAGATGGCCCCGAAATTAAATTCTTAAAGGAGTTCAAATTTTGGGAATTAAATAGAATTTGGGTTATTGGTATCGTGAATACAAATAAATGGGTCAATGTGTTTCTACGTCTGCATGTCACCATAACATAAGTGTAATTTCATCATCAAGGCATGCAAAAGATCATCACCATAACGTTGTTGCTGTATCATTTAAGAGCAAAAAAACAGCCACAGCTGCAAGGATTATTGATAGAAGAAGATGGTGTGGCAAATGAAATTATAAACAAACAAAAACTTCAGCTCTACCCGTTACAAAGACAAAAACTTCCCCAGTTACAAAGACAAAAACTTCAGCTCTAGTTCCTCAGTTACAAAGCAAAAACTTCAGCTCTTCGCCAGTTACAAAAACAAAAACTTCAGCTCTAGAGCTGAAGTTCGCCAGTTACAAAACAAATACTTCAGCTCTAGAGCTGAACTTCAGGCCCGACTACTAGAATGCTGAAGTTTTGCGTGATTGCCTTTGCTACTTCAGCCCCGTATGCTAAAGTTAGGCGAAAAAGCGGGTACGTTTGCAATTTTTTTTGCAAAGCGGGCACAAGTTAAAACGTGACACAAAAAACGAGTATAGATGCAAATGACCTAAGAGGATAGGATGACGGATCCTAGGATAATACCCCTGACAATATTACTATTACTCTTGTAAGTTTTCTCTCCACAGATCTACTACAAGTCAATAAAATGATAGAAAGGTTGGGCTGATTGTCTTTAATATTAACAGAAAATTGCTGGTTAAAACAAGTTTATAAGTTTATGTTTATACAGTTGGAATTAGCTTTGATATACATCAATCGTCTTCTTTTTATACTCAATGCTAAATGATATGTTTGGTTCTTTAACTTTTTTTTTTTTTAAATGTAAATTAACATGTTAAAGATCATCTAGAATTTAAGAGTTGAGTTTATTCATCATACTGTTATTTGCGATCGTCAAAGTTAGCGATTTAAGAGCAAGTGTCTCGGGGGAAGGGGGGGGGGGGGGGGGGGGTGAAGGCGTTTAAAAAAAAATTAAATTCTCTTTTCAAAAATGTGTTTGTCCATGAAATATTGCAAGCTTTTAAAAAAGTTTCAAAAAAATGAGTTTCTCATAAACCAAAACTTTGAAAAATATTGAAAAACTTTTTTCCTCGCTCACAAAACTGTAACATTTTTTCAAGTGAATTGCATGTCCAAAGATAATTTTAATTTTCAAATATCATTTTTCAACTTAATTCTAAAGTACTTTTTTAAAATAAATTATAATTTTTATGTCCAAACGCCTGCTTAATGGATGCTAAAGTAAACATAAAAGAAGACCTTCTAAAAAAAAAAAACATAAAAGAAGAGGGAAGAGAAAAATTTTAGAATCACCAAACAAAAAAAAATGGAGTACTTTGACTCGGCACGAAGTTTAAAAAAAAAGAAAAAGACTTTTGAAACTTGTAGTCTTGCTAAGGGGTAAAAAGTTTGTGGGGCCATGACATTTGTGTAGCTATAAAAGCTTCTCATTAAGGGTAAATGAGTAAAATAAAAGAGTTTAAAGTTGAATTATTTCCAAATTTAAAAATGTGTCATTTGTTTTGGAACAGACTAAAAAGGAAAGTAGTTTATCTAATATGAGACGCGAGTCAACAAGGCGACTCAGGTTGACAGACTGTCAGCTCAGTGTGAATCGTGTAGTCAGTCCTCTGTTGCTCCTGTGAAATGTGAAGAAGAACAACATATCTCACATCTTCTCCATTTCTCCAATTCGGTATACTCTCTCCCTCCTTGCTTTCTTTATATTTTATACATCTCCTCTTCTTGATGTTCGTTCTAAAGAGGCCACGACGACAAGTATATAGGTATCGCTGAATGTGAAGCTTTAATACATTGGAGTTTTGTTTGGAACGCTTTGAAGTCCAAGCTCTGTTCAATGTCTCATTTGCACTCAGATTCTACTTACTGTGGTTTGTGGTAGTATTTTTAAAATAAATGAGTCCAAGTGTTAGCCTTAAACCAAATGTCAATATGCATGTAAAGAGTTTTTACATGTGGCAAGCCTTCTAGAAGTTATGGACAAAATGACTTATTTTGTCCAAGTGTCATCTTGCATGAAGGAAATTTGACAAGTAAGTAGAACACTTATCTTGTGTAGAAGCTTTCCTTAGGCCTATATATAGCCATGATTAGGCCATCCTTCTTCAATCATCAAACACCAAGAAAAGCTAATCATTAGCAAAGAAGAAATTCTTCTATCTTCTTTCCTTCCTATACGTCCCTTTCTTTCTAATTTCTTCTTTTATAATATTTTGATTGGTATAAGATATTAGTTGCTCTTTCTCTTCCAACTTACTGGATTTATTATTTAATTTTGCTGATTCCTGTATCCTCTAAATAAATAGAGATGAGCTTGTTTAATCCTGGGGAAACATTTCACATTGCTGAAATAATTTCTTAGGACAGTGCCTAGCATGACTCAAGCCAGTTGGTGTATTTTCACTCACAAATCATTTTATTGCAGTATTATTATTGTTGTTGTTATTTTCGGTGTCATTTCCCTACAATCTAAGAAACTATGGCAAGTAATACTACTACGGACATTTTTGATGGTGCTACCAATTTTGGTGTTGTCTCTACTGCTACTATTCCAGCTGTCCTGCTAGATATCCATGGTGTTGCAAATACGTTATTGCATCCACAACTTTGGCAGACAATAATATCCAAACACAGGTATGTGAACAGACATGGTTACATATCCGATGCTAATATTAAAACCTTCAAGAAAAATGCACCTCAATGCAATAGTAGATTTGGGATAAATGACAATCTCGCTAAGTCAAAATTAAATTTGACTAAAGCGGATAATATAATTGTAGCTAGTCATCTCCCAAATAAATAATGTGGCCAGTGTGAGAGATTGGGTGATAGACTCTGGTGCTACTAGGCACATTTGTGCAAACAAAAATGAATTTTTGTCTTACGCCCAAGTTGAGGAAGGAGAAGAAACTATTTATCTTGGTGACTCAAGAACAACTCGTGTTCTTGGGAAAGAAAAAATTCTTCTCAATCTCACATCTGGTAAAACTCTAGCATTGAGTAATGTATTGCATGTTCCTAATATCCAAACCAATTTGGTTTCTGTGGGGTTATTAAGAAAAGTTGGAGTGAAGGTTTCATTTGAAAATAATGAGGTTGTATTGACCAAAAATGATATTTTTGTGGGCAATGGATATTGTAACCATGGTTTATTTGTGCTTAATATTTTCGATACTAACAATAAAAATGCATCTTCTTCTGCTTATATGGTTGAGCCAATTTCTTAGTGGCATGCTAGACTAGGACATGTTAATGTCGCGTATATAAAGAAAATGCAGTCGCTAGGATTAATATCTAATTTGGACTCAAATATTATTAACAAATGTGAAATATGTGCTGAAGCTAAAAGTACTGGAAAGACATGTGTTTCCGTAAATAGAGAAACTGAATTATTATTCTTGATTCACACTGATTTAGGCGATTTAAAGCAGACTATGACTAGAGGCGGTAAAAGATATTATGTGACTTTTATTGATGATTTTTCTAAATATGCTAAGTTGTATTTGTTTAGAAATAAAGATGATGCATTTAATGCTTTTATTTCCTATAAAACTGAGGTTGAAAATCAACTTAGTAGAAAAATCAAGAGAATTAAATCAGATAGAGGTGGAGAATATTTATCTTTAAATGATTTTTGTGAAAAGAATGGAATCATTCATGAAGTAACTCCGCCTTATTCACCTGAGTCAAATGGAGTAGCTGAAAGGAGAAATAGAACATTGAAAGAGATGATGAACTCTATGTTAGTCAGTTCTAATGCTCCTGATAATTTGTGGGGTGAAGCTATTCTATCTGTATGTCACTTACAAAATAGAATACCACATAGAAGAACAGGCAAAACTCCTTATGAATTGTGGAAGAGTTATAAACCTAATTTAAAATATTTAAAAGTGTGGGGGGTGCCTTGCTAAAGTTCTTTTGCCTGAACCTAAAAAGAGAAAAATAGGTTCTAAAACTGCATTGCATGCTAATTGGATATGCAGAACATAGTGCTGCATATAGATTTTTTGTTTTAAAAAGTAATGTGCTTGATTGC